ATTGGAAAGTGGTGAAAAGTTTAGGAGGTGAGGCCTAAAATTAGAAGAAGAAAGTCTTTGGGGGCATGCCCTTGAAGGGAATATTGGGTCCCCAGCCCATTCTTTTTCTTTCTATTGCCATTAAGTGAGCAGCTTTGCTCCAACACACACTCCCTGCCATGATATTCTACCCTGCTACAAGCCCAGTGACAAGGCCAAGTTACCATGGACTGAAATCTCCAAAACCATAAGCCAAGACAAACCTTTCTTTCTTACAAGTTAATTACTCACAGCGACAGAAAGCTGACTAACACAGCAGAGCTTCAGGAATTGAGTTCTTAGGCAAAGATCTGAAGAAGCCCAACATTCAGTGGCTGAAAAGGGAGGCCTAACCTGCAAAGGGGGCTGAGTGACCAAAGAACCATGAGGGTGCTGCTGTAGTCTGGATTTTAAGTGTCTCCCAAAGATCCACATGGTAAAGACTTGTTCCCCAGATTGGTGCTTTTGGAAGGTGGTAAAAACTCTGGGAAGCAGAGCTTAGAGGGAGGTCTTTAGTTCCTTGGGGTGTGCCCTTGCGGAGGATGGTGGCATCCATATCTCTTCCTCTCTGTTTTGCTTTGGGCCAGGAGGTAAGTGATTTTGTTTGGCCTCATGCTTTCCACCGTGATGTGCTGCCTCAGCACAATGAATCCGGTCAGTGATGGACTGAAACCTCCAAGGCTGTGAGCCGAAGTAAAGTATTTATAAGTTGGTTTATCTCAGGTATTTATTTTAGTATTGGGAAGCCAGCACATGGAGTGTCCCAAAGCCAAGCAAATACAACATTTCAGGAAAGAGGGAGTGTTTAGCAGTGTCAGATGTGGCTGAGTGGTCGAGTACGGCAACAACAGACTGGAGTCGGTGACATAAGAGGACACCGGTGACCTTGTGGAACTGTTTTGGTAAAGCGATGGGACAGGATTCCAAATGTAGTGGACTGAAGGGCTTTGGGCAAATCAGGAGACAGAGACAGCAAGTGCAGACTGAATGAAGTGATGTATAATTAAGATAACAGCAAACATTTAAGACAGCCTGCCTTGCAAGGGATTTTTAGGATTATTCCTAATATGCATCCCTTTTCTAGATGTGATTTTTCTCTTTCATAGCCCACTTGCACCCTAAAATTGGAAGGAAAATGGTCAAGCTGTCTCCAGCCAGCTAAGCATTCAGGCAAGGAGGACCAGCTGAGAGGGAAGACAAGTGGGTGGGCAGCCAGCCCTTCCAAGCACCTGTCTCTGCGCACCAAGAAGAGGCAGAAGAGCATGTGAAAAGCAAAACCCCGGTCAATGCAACGAACAGTTGGGCAGCTGCACGAGGGACTTTTGTCACTTATATTTCACTTAGCTCTTGATGACAAAAGCAGACAGGTAAGAGACATACTGAGCAGTCACTGTATACAGAACACTGCTGAACACAGTGGAGATCTTGCCAGTGGATGGAAGGACCTAGGACACACACGCACTAACAGGAGGACCCTTATAAAAGAATGTGTCCACAGGTGCAGCATGTGGGTCAATACTAATGGCTCTCACTTACTGAGTACTGAGAGTACCAAAATTTATAAATTCGATGTAATCCCTATCAAAACCGCAACAGGATATTTTGAAGAAATATATAAGAAAATTTGAAAATGCGTACCAGAGAGAAAAGGCTCTACAACAGTCAACGCAATACTCAAAAAGAATACTGTTGGGATAGCCAGGCATGGTGGTGCACGCCTGTAATCCCACCACCTGGGAAACTAAGGCAGGAGGATTGCTGCAAATTTGAGGCCAGCCTGGACTACACAGTGAGTTCAAGACCAGCCTAGAATACATAATGAGACTCTGTCTCAAAAAAACAAAAACAAAAAGAATAATACATTTGGAAGATTTAGACTGTGGTAGCTGATATCAAGACTTATTAGAAGGCTACAATAAGCCATACGGTGTGGTGTTGGTGTGAAGACAGACAAATAGAACAATGGAACGAAATAGAGAGTTCAGAAAATAGATTCACGCACATGCAGTTAACTGATTCTCTACAGAAGTGCTGACTCAAGGGAAAGGAACATCTTCTCTCTCTCTCTCTTTTTTTTTTTTTTTGGTTTTTCTCCGGTAGCGGGAACCAAACTCATGACCTTGCGCTTGCCAGGCAGGCGCTTTGCCGCTGAGCTAAATCCCCAGCCCCGTGAACATCTTCTTAATGGAGGTTCTTAGAACAACTGGAAAGTCATTTGAGAAAAAAAATGAATGTTGACCCCTATATGACTTTATTCACAAAATTAAATTGAGAATGGATCATGGATCTACCCTTAAAACTCAGAATCATAAAGCCTCTAAAAAAACATAATTAATGGCACATGCCTGTAATACCAATGCTTGGGAGGCTGAGGCAGGAGGATTGCCATGAGTCTGAGGCCAGCCTGGACTACATAAGCAAGTTCAAGGCCAGCCTACACAACATATTGAGACCCTGTTTCAAAAACACCAAAAAAAACCAAAACAAAACAAAAAACCCAAACCCAAACCCAAAACAAAACAAAACAAAACAAGAAAAACCAAAAATATAATTCAGGGGGCTGGAGATTTAGCTCAGTGGCACAGCACCTGCCTGGTAAGCACGAGGTTGTGAGTTCGATTCCCAGTACCAGAAAAAACCAAAACCAAAAAAAATATGCATATATAATTCAGTATCTTTACAATCTAGGGGTAGATGAAGATTCCTTGGGCAAGATACAAAAAGAAAATATTGATAGACTGACTTCATCAGCATTTAAAATTTCTACTGATCAGAAAACATCATTAAGAAAGTTAGTAGAGCCAGGCGTGGTGGCACATGCCTGTAATCCCAGCACTCAGGAGGATGAGGCAGGAGGATCATTGCCAGTTCGAGGCCAGCCTGGGCTACAAAGTGAGCTCAAGGCCGGCCTGAACTGCATCATGAGACCCTGTCTCAAAAAAGACAAACAACAACAACAACAACAAAAATGAAAATAAGTAGATAAGCTACAGGAAAATCTCTTCACAGAATCTGACAAGGAACTTAGACCTAAAATATGTGAAGATTTCTTACAAATCAACAAAAATACAAACAAACCAATTGCAAAATAGCCAAAATTTTAATAGACATTTAATGACACAAGAAGTTCAAATGAATAAGCACATTAAAAACTGCTCAATATTATTAGTCACCAGGGCGATGGAATGTAAAACCACAGGGAGGGCTGGGGGTGCAGCTCAGTAATAGAGCACTTGCCTAGCATTTGGGGGCCCTGGGTTAGATCCCCAGAACCACAAAACAAAAACAAAAAAGCAAGAGGAACAACTTTCTATGCATTAGAGTGGCTAAAATCAAAGACTGATGGTTCAGGTATCTATCTACTGTTGCAAAGTACATGACTCCAAAACTCAGTCAGTTTCTTCGTATAGTTTCTATGGATTCAGAATTCGCCTAGGGATCACTGCCGCTGTTGCAGTCAGATTGTGGCTGGATGTGGAAAAGTGGGAGCTGGGAAAGCTGGAACAGCCTCTCTCCCCCTCCTGGTCCTTCCCCTCCCCCTCCCTCTCCCCCTTCTTCTCCCCCTCCCTCCACAGAATCTCAATCTCTCCTCCCGGCCTAATAGGGGCTTCCTCACAGCCGCTCAGCCTCAGAGTCCTCAGACTTTTCTACCAGGAGGCTCAGGATGCCTGGAGCAAGTCCCTGGCTAACAAGGTGGATGGATGCTGCACTACCATGGATGACCTCTTCTAGGAAGTCGCCAAGTGTAGCTCAGAGGCAGAGCGCTTGCCTAGAGAGGCCCTGGGTTTGATCCCCAGCAGAAAATGAAACAAAAAAGCAGTTGCTAAAAGGCATACCTTGATGTGTTTAAAAAAAGAAAAAGCCACACAGTGTCGCTTCTGCCACACACTATGGGAGACCCAGGAGAGGAGTCAACAAACACATCCAGGCGGAAGGGGAATTAGACTCTCTCTCCTGCTGTGGGACTAACAAGAGTCTAGAGGAGTCTGTGGGATGAGAGACAGTACAGCAGCCCTGTTCAGGTAATACTGTCTGTGGCGGATAAACCTGAAGAGACAAGCAGGCAAGGCATCGCACCGGGCCTTCTGAGCCACACTAGTAAGTTTAGTTTGGGGAAATATTGTGATGAGGGACCACTAGAAGTTTTGGTTTCGTTTCATCACCGGAAGGTGTTAAGTGCGAGTGAATTGATTTATTTCTTCTTTCTTTCCGTCCTTCCTTCTCTCATCCCCGCCGGCAGCCCCCCGCCCCCCGCCCTTTGTAAGTAACTGGATCTCCCTATATCGCCCAGGCTGGCCTCGAACCTGGCCTCAAGCAATCCTCCTCGCCTCAGCCTCCGGAACAACTGGGACGACAGACACGCACCACCACACCGGGCGCTTCCAACTATCTTTAAAAATTCATTCTGAAGGTTGTGTGGATAAAAAATTTGCGAGGAGGGCATGAAAGCAAAGAGAGCGTTTAAGGGGGAGGGGGACCAAGACCAAGTGGCAGACATGGCATTCAACCTTAGCCTGGTGCTGCCGTGTTCACTGCGAGGAAACAGTGGAGAGGTGAGTTGAGTATGTTGCTTTTTAGTCCAGGGTGGACATGACACCGGACTCGAGTGATAGAAAGGTAAGAATGAACATCATTTTAGAAGGCACAGGAATGGACCAGATGTGCCGGGCGTGGTGGTGCACGCCTGTAATCCTAGCACTTAGGAGGCTGAGGCAGGAGGATCGTTGCAAGTTTGAGTCCAGCCTGGGCTACAAAGTGAGCTCAATCAAGGCCAACCTGAACTGCATAGCGAGACCCTGTCTCACAAAGACCAAAAAAAAAAAAAAAAAAAAAAAAAAAAAAAAAGGAGAGGACGAGATGTGTCAGCCTGAGGACTTAGAATCTCTTATCTACCCTTACCCGCAGGGTCTGCAAACAGTCCCAAGGTCGCAAAGTGAAACACGCAGGCGCACACGTTTGTCCGCTAGCGGCACCTGGTGGCAGCTTGCTAATGGTGCATGCGCGGTGTAGAGTGGTCGCCATGGAGACGCGTGGCGCCAGCTTGCAGATCGCGCCCGGAACCCGCCTGGCAGCCGCGGGGTCCTACGCTGCCGGATCATAGTTCGCTATCCTGTGGGCTTATGGACCGCGGCAGTGGGGCCGGGACGGCGGGATACCTCGAAGAGGGAGAGGACGACGACGAGGAAGAGGAGAGAGAGGGCGGCGCCGCGGGCTTGCTGGGGTCCAGACTGCCCCCCATCACCGGAGATGCCTCAGAGCAAACCAGAGGAAAGGCGAAGAAGAAAAAGAAGAAGAAAAAGACCAAAGGGTCAGGCAAGGGGGACGGTAAGAGGGGCAGCTGGTGAGGCTGCTTCAGCTCCCCAACCTGAGATTCCCCTGTCTGAGGACACCCTCCAAGAGATGCCCTGGAAACCACTTCAGAGCAGAAACAGAAACTCACCAATCCCAGACAGGGACACACACACACACACACACACACACACACACACACACACACACACACACGTACACTCTCTCTCTCTCTGTCTCGTGCCCAGAGACCCTTGGGCCATGAACACAAGAGCCCTTAAGCCCCATGGACGTTCCACCAACTTCACACCCTCCAGTACTGCACAGACCCCACATGCTGACTGGGAGGTAACAGTATCCAGAGTGTCTGGATCCCACACAGACACCCCGGCTGCTACCCCCCATCCTCCAGTGCCTCCTGGCTCCATGCAGACTCGGCTTCACCTGGACACCCTCTCAACTTCCTAGGCCCTCAGCCTGAAGTCACAGTCCTGAACACCCACACCCTCCTGCAGCCGCTGTAGAGAAACCCTCCCACAGAGAGACTTCCCTTGACACGATTTACTGCCTGACAATCTACACAGAAACGCAGATCCGTGCTCCCCCGAGATGTCCTCCTCACTCCCTCACGTGTTGAGGCACCTGCTTCCGAATGCTGTGTAGACACCCGTACTTGGTCAATGCGGATAAGAATCCTCCCTGCACAAAGGGTTCCCCGCCCCGTTCATCCTCCGAGGGGCAGCCGGGGCTGTGCCCACACCACCGCGCTGGTCGCTGCTGCATCCTCTTGTAATCTCCGACACGCTTCGCCACGCCCCCCGTACCAATATGACACACCCCACAGAACTGAAGCACAGCTAGGGGTGCACACCTTCAAAGTCTGCACACACATACGGAAGCTGAGACACACCCACAGACCCTCCCCCCCCGGAGTTCCTGTATGATGCAGTCATGCCCACGCAGGTACTCGGTCCCTCTCAGGCCACCTCCAGATCTATACACACCAACACCTGCTGCAAACCCAGAGTCCCTTCCCCGCAGGCTCTTCCTGCAGCACTCCCAGATTTCTCAAGAACACCCCCGGGCGTCCACTCTGAGAAGAGCGTGCAGCAGTGACTGGGACGCAGTTGCCCTGAGTGCTATGAGTCCGTGGTCACCTGTGTGGCCCACCCCAGTGGCTTTGGCTGTCAGGGAAGTGGCCCTGACCTTCACTGTGGCTGGCCCTGGGTTCTCGTTTCTGGACACTGTGCAGAGCTGGAGGCTAAAGGAGTGGCAGCCTTGCCCATGGCAGCCCGGTCGTTAGGAAAGAGAGCAATGAGAGGTTACAATTACTTCTTAGGGTGGAATCATAATAGAAAGGCAAAAGCCAGGGCCGGGGATAGAGCTCAGTGGCACAGGCGCCTGCCTGACAAGCACAGGGTCCTGAGTTCGATTCCCAGTACCAAAAAAAAAAAAAAAAGGCAAAAGACAAAAGCCAAAACTTCTAGAGTGTAGGGCAAAAAAGCTCACTGTAGCCAGGCATGATGGTGCACACCTGTAATCCCAGCACTTGGAAGGCTGAAGCAGGAGGATCACAATAAGTTCAAGGCCAGACTGCACTACAAAGTGAGACCCTGTCCCAAAAAACAAAAACAAAACACACACACACACACACACACACACACACACACACGTATCTACAAAGCCAAATTGGATTCTGTTGCCTCCAGGGGTTCCTAACCAAGCTACATCCTCAGCCCTTTTTAATTTTTTATTTTGAGACAGGGTTTCACTAAATCACTAAGTTGCTGAGGCTGGGCTTGCAGTCCTCCTGGCTCAGTTTCCCAGAGGGCTGTGTTTATAGTCATGCATCCCCAGACCCAGCTTGGTACAGTTTTTGACTATAGAACTTACAGTCGCACATACCTCATCCTGTCAGCAGGGGACACCAAATCATTTTCAGAGACTAGGAACATGAGGAAATGCCCAGACAGGACTTTTCCCCCTTATTTTCCTTTGTGGCTTCTTCTCTCTTCCCCTCCACCTCCCAGGTATTTCTCTCCTCAATGGACAGAAGTGAGCTGTTGGGTGAACCACAACTTGTAATATTTTATATGTATGCTATATAATTCTGAACCGCTATTAATGGAAAAGAAGAAAGGAAGGAAGAAGGAGGGGGGCAGGGAAAGACACACCAGCCACACACAGCAAAAGTATTTCCTGGTTTGGCGTAATACTGCTTTCATCAGTCAAATTTAGGAAGCTTTTCAGTTGTTCTCTGGTTCTCCCCTCGTAAAGTGTCTAGACTGGCAGTAGTCAGAGACTTGTAGACCTGGAAAGTACGTTCGTGAGCATGTGTCAGGGTTGCGTGGGTGGCGGTGGGGTGTAGTGGAAAGAGCGGGGCCCCGGGAGCCAGGCCAGCCTTTGAATCTGGCTCTCCCACCTGCTCCATGACCTTGGCAGGTTAGTGAAGCTCTAGGGACCTCAGTTTCCTCATCTGGAGAGCAGGACTGATGTCCAGGCAGGCTGCTAAGGCTATGTGCTCAAACAGTAGGGCTGGCTAGGGGGTGGCTCAGTGGCAGAGCCAGCTAAGCTTGCATGAGACCCTGGGTTCAATCCTAGCACCACAAAAAGAAAAAGAGAGAAGCTTCCTCCTACCTCAGAATGACGTGACCCGAAACACACAGGCAGTGTGGGTTAACACGAGGCCAGTGGGCTGGGTGGTGTGAGCCCTAGGTAAAGAGGGCCCCCCAAGTCCTTCCATCTTTGGTGATTTGGGCATCACCCCAGGTGGGCTGAGGGCAGATGTGGCCACAGCAGTAACCCCCTCGTTCACTCAGCAGATAAACATCAGAGTCGAGGCCTGAAGAGTCAGCTGTTTTCCTCATCCTTCCAAGACCCCCTAAGTCCCAGCAAGGACCACGGGCCGAGGCCAGAGCCCAAGCAGGACAAGGACAGTCACAAGCACGTCCCTTTCTCCTCCTGCACCATGAGCCTGCCCCACTTGGCCGAAGTAGAAGAGAAACTTTCAAACCAGGTCAACGAAAGCCTGCGTTGGGATGGAATTCTCGCTGACCCGGAAGCAGAAAAAGAAAGGATTCGCATATATAAGCTGAACCGGAGAAAGCGGTACCAGAACTTGGCCCTCACGGGCTTCCACTCCGACCTCGGCAGCGGCCACTGCTCTGAAGGAAACCCCGAGGCAAAGCTCCTGCACTCTGATGATTTACCTCCTGCTCTGCTGGAGTGAGGTCTACCGCATTGCTGACAAGCTTGCCCTTTCTCCTTGCCACAAGCTTGTGTGTTAAAAAGGAATAATAAAAGGAAACTGGAGCTGTATCTGAAGGAAGCAGCTGTCTGGTGTGCAGATAGGCCAACCTCTCCTGCAGTAAGATGCCCTTAGATGCCCATTTCTTAAGAACACCAGCAACTTCATGAACACGGTGCTTTGCACAACTGCCTTTTTTCTGAACTATCCGGGCGTCTCTCTTTGTTATTTAAGTTCTCATCACAGACAGATCTCCATGTAATCGGCCCCTAAAAAAAAAGAAAGAAAGAAAAGAAAAAGCTGTGTAGACTATTTAAATTCTAAGTCTGAAACTAATTTCATGGATACAGCTTGCACAATGCATGCATCTGTTAGGCCCAGGAAAATGCCCTGAATATCCTGGAGATGTTTTCTTAATTACACTATTTATCGTTATGTGGCTTTCAAAATCAGTAGGTTCAGGAACTTCACCCCTGAGAGGTTATTATGGGAAGCCCAAAGAGGACTTTTATAAATATAGCTCTCCCCTGATCCCTGAGGTGGCATTTTAAGGAAAGTTCGGGAGCATTAAAGGTGCCTTACTATACTGCTTATCTTGGATTTATATCCCCCTCTCCACATATAGAGAGTGTGGCCTTGTCAGCTTGGTTTGCATCCAAGTAGACCCAGGACAAGTGCTCAAGTGCAAGATTATTTGGGAGGTAAAGGGGAGGGTGGAGGAGGGAGCGAGCCAGCCCCAGGGACAGTAGGTATTAAAGCCGCTCCTCCTGCCTGGCAGCTGAAGTGTGGTCCCACAGGATGCACTGGGAAACAATTCAGGGCTCATATCTCACAAGAGCGGCACCCCAGGTGTGTGCACGGGGGCTGGGTTCTGACACGCCCCAGGGTGTGTCCTGGGTGAGGGTGATCATTTCCTGGCATTTCTAGCCTGCCGCCCTTTGTGGGCCTGGAAGCCTACTTTAACCATGGAGGAAATCACTCTCAGCACAGACATGCAGCCGGACAGGTCCAGAGGGGGAGAGTGGCCTCCGGGTTAGCATGGTTACCTTCGAGGGACAGGGTGGAGGTCTGAGATGAGGTCCCCAGCTCCCAGGGAGTAAAGATGTTCTCGGGTAGGCAGGACACACTGTGCCTGGGAGAAGTTAAAAGCCAGCACGGGGCCTGGGATATAAAGTCCTGAGTTCGATTCCTGGTACCAAAAAAAAAAAAAGCCAACACAGACTGGCACAATGCTTGTCTGGAGGTGAAAGGGAAGTAGCCCCCCTTCTGGCTCCCTTGGCTATTGGAGCAGCTCTCTCTTACCCCTCCTTTAAAAGGCCAGCTGCAGAGCTCCTACATTTGCCATTGAGCCCTGGCAAAATATCCTGAAGGGACTTCTGGAAGAGTCCTTTCCTGCCTGGAGAATGGTTGGCAGACAGGCCTGGCAGGGACGCAGAAGCAGGACAGAGCAAGGGGCAGCTGGGCTGGCATCTCAGGTGCCTTCCAGAGCGATTGTAAGTTCGAAGCCAGCCCGGGCTACAAAGTGAGCTCAAGGCCAGCCTGAACTGCATAGCAAGACCCTGTCTTGAGGGGCTGGGGATTTGGCTCAGTGGCACAGCGCCTGCCTGGCAAGCGTAACATCGTGAGTTCGATTCCCGGTACAGGAATAAACCAAAAAAAAAAAAAAAAAAAAGACCCTGTCTCCAAAAGACAAAAACCAAGACCAAGCTGGGTGTGGTGGCACACACCATAATCCCAGCACGTGGGGGGCTGAGGCAGGAGGATTGTTGCAAGTTCAAAGCCAGCCTGGGCTACAAAGTGAGCTCAAGGCCAGCCTGAACTG